TAGCTGAACATGCTAATGTTTGTAGGTCACATTGGAGCAGACAATTCACTGTTTTAATCCATTCAGTCACACTTCTTTCTCTCACTTTTGGTTTTGAAGAGGTTAAAACAATACCACCCTCCTGAACTCTTACTCTTACTCTTACTGAGAATCGCTTTACTACAAACTCATACAGACAAATCCAAACCCATCTTGCTAAGTTATGATTGTTGTTGTTTAAAATATGAGTGGCTTTCAAATATATTAATAAAATATTATTGGAATTGTTTCACCCTCTGAATAATGGGTTTTATCCTTTGTGTAAAAAAGCTATCAAATAGCCTTTGTTTACATTCAATAGTACAATAATCTCCAATAACCTTATAAATATGAGCATCTGTTTTTCTTGCCAGTGTTGGATATTTTATTTTGAAAGGCACTGTGTGTGCGCATCAGGGGCTCGCTCTTCTGTAGTGCCTACGTATGTGGGTGCCATTCTCAGGAAGCTGAGCAGGGCCCATCATGGGACTGTATGCATCCTTTTGTCATCTCCTCATTTCCTCACCTTCTTGTTCCCTCAACTCATCACATCCTCTTTTTCCAGCACATTTGTCTTGACTTTCCTACCTGTAGCACTTCCCCCAATTTCCATTGGCAATCATACATGATGATAAGTGTTGTTGGGGGCCAGGCTAAACACTGAAACAAGTAAACAAGGGGAAAGGTGAGCAGAGTGCAGCACAATCGATAACGGTACTGTGGACTGATTGCTGTTGAGGTAGCAAGAGCTTACACACATACATGCACACATGCTGTGTTTTCATTTCTTGTGGGGACTTTACATTGACTTGTATTCATTTCCTGTAGACTTATCCTAACTTTAACCATAACCACTACTTGCCTAACCCTAACCCTGACCCTAACACTTAACCTAACCTCATCCTAACCCTAAACCATGTTGCCACCCTAAAATTTAGTGACTGTGGGGACCAGAAGCTAGTCCTCACAAGGATGGCCGAGTCCCCACAGTGTGAGTGTGTTAACAGGTTTCAATCCTCATGATGTAAGTAATACAAAGGCACATTAGAATGTCCAATAGGTCCAAGACAGCTGCTGCTAATTTTAAATGGCATGTATCCCTGGCATGCCCCAGACTCCCTACTATGCCAATAGACCCCCAAATGACTTTGCCCCAAGCACATACTCCACCCCCATTACCTGCTGAAATCCATAAACTCAGCCATTCTTATTCCCTATGCACTCCTGTGTTTCTACCATCCAATCTACTGTTTTGCTAGATGGTGAAACCAATTCTGTCCAATATTCAAAGCATGACATTTTGACAATCTCAATCAAGTCTGAATCGTTTTCAAGGGTTCCTTGCAATATGACAGTCTTGCAGATTTGCAGCCCCCCACTCTATTTAATTCTCATGCATACCACAGTCACAAATTTTAATGCATGCCAGGGTTTAGTTACAAGATCCCTGACATCTTCACCCTGCCCCACTTACTCCCTTCTGACAGACTTTACTAATTGGATTCAAAACACAGATGACCTTACAAAACAACCCCAATTTACACAGATTACTTCATGGAGTTCATCCAAAGGGATCCAAGGGAATAAGATAATTCATAATTGTAAATTAGTCTTGGAGAATTGTTCATAATTATCATAGGAAAGCGAGAGGGACAATAGGCTTAAGGTGATCTCTTTACATTTAACTAGCTTTATACAAACACACACACACCACCATCAACTCAATCCTCACGCACCACTTGCCAATTCCTCCTATACTGCAGCCTTGTATGTGACTGAATGTGCGTGTGTGTTCTCTTCACAGTTAAAAGTCCAAAGAGCTGAGGTCATCTGTATAAACATGTCACAAACACAACAGAGAAGTCAGTGAATGAGTACATAAAAATACACTCATACACACACACACTTTAGCTCATGCATATTGCCATGCTTTTTGTGGGTAGCGGGCCACATGGGCAGCAGCTAATTAGAAAGATGAAGCACTCCCTATTCACTGGCTGATCTTGAAACCACATGCAAGGCTTTGGTGAACACGTATGCATTTACAAAACCTCACAGACACAAACTCACATGCACACACCCACATATACAGGCAATCACATACATGTCAGTTTTTTGGAGAACCCTGACCGAGCTGTGCTCCAGCCGACTGCAATAATTACATGTTAATAATATACAAATTACAGGTCTGGACTTAACACTCATGACATCAGAACTGTACCATAATCTGACCAATGACTTACCGTGGAAACCCACTCCATTGGCAGCTGCAAGGCCATAATCACTATCAGACCATGGGAATGTGTGTCTGTTAGTAAGTGAGGCAGACAAATGAGCTAGCTCTTAGATACCATTATCCATCTTTAGATTTGGAAAGTCTATGACGAGATATGAAGACAATCAGATTTTACTGTTTGGCCATATCACACATATAGATCATTTGTTGAATGTTGAATGTTGCGATGGGGCGCCATTTTGGGAGATAAGCATTGCATTTACCTGCATCCATTGTTATTTTGTTTGGCTAAAAAGTTGCTTAAATTGTTTAGATCTCACTTTATTGACTGTGGTAATACAGAATGGATAACCTTAGCTGACTGTAACTAACTCCTGGCGGACCTAGAGATCCTGTCTTCAAGACCAACAGACTCTCAGTTTGGGAGCTAACACTAGCTAGCAGCTGTTGGTAGATAACACAGACACTGCAGATGATTTGATTTCTGTCCTGTTTGTGCTTAAACTAAACACTAAAGTGGACTTTGAATATAGCTGAAGCATTCCCTACTGTATTTAGCCATAGGTGATAGTTTTTTAAATTAAATTATAGATGTATTTAGCGCATATCTCTATGATGAATAATGAGCATGATCTTCCAAAATGGGGCATTTACCCAACATTCTACACGGCATGACAACTTTCCAAATGAAACTTTAAATGAGTAATTTTATACTCTTCTGAGCAATTGTAATTGAACTCCATGATGTTTCACTAGTGTCTCATTCCAGTGGCTGTGATTGAGCAGAGAAGTATGTTATCCTTTCTGCTAGACACAAAAAGAGACCTGGTGATCCACATCCATTCATGAGTCACACAGACTCTGAGGTAAATGAGCAATACAATGACAGCTGTCTGCTACCTGACAGCAGGTTTTAGTCCTGCTCAACTGATAAAACAACAATACTACAGTGCATGTTCATCACAATAGGAACCAGATTTAGGAGTTACGTGTTCAGATGGCTCAGATAATGAGCTTATGGGTCAAACACTTGGCTCTGAATGCTTCCTCATTCCAACAAAATGCTCTGGAAAAGAATCTGGCTTCTGTATTTACACTAGGCCCGTGCTGCTTGGATGAATCTGTGGCTTGCAGAGTGCTCAGCAACCTCCAAGAGTTGTTAGTGCTATTAATGTAGCAGTAATCCTTTTATATTTAAGTGCCTGGTAGGGCTTGAAAGGTATTAGTAGTGTTATTGTTCAATATAGTGTATACACATTCATCTGAAACAAGACAGATGGAGGAGACATAGAATCTCAAATGATGTATTTATGTCTTTAAAGCCTGACCTTACTTTGTGCCAAGGTTCTTGGTAGTTACAGTAGAAGCACTAATGGTGTTTCAGGAAGGTTCTGGACTAAATAAAGCATTCTTTGTGGTGTTTAGGTAAAGTTAATGATAGCTGCCACCAGAATATTTTGCAGAAATTGCAGGATGAAGCCTCCTTTTTATGTTGGTCTCAAAACTAAAACTCAGTTACAAGATGACATAATCAATGATTCTGTACCATTTTGCCAAATCAACATGCAAGAATGATGCAAGAAGCAGAAATGATTGCTCTCTGTTCAGATTGTGGGAGCGTTCCAGTCTCTGTTCTTTACTGAAGTGCTTGACTGGTTTAAGCACATGCAGCCTGGTATGTACGTGGCCAAAATAGTTTCTCCATCTGCTGCTGCTGATCTCCTGACTTGTGTCTATGAATGCGTCTGTGTGTTCCTGTCTCGGTGCATTTTGAGTGTGTGTGGTATGCTGTGGCTCCTCTCTGGTGCCAAATTTAGTCGTAGGGAGTGAACCCCCCCTTATCTAACTGTTGCTCTGAAGTCCAATCAGCACCAAGCCAAACACTTCACCCGATGCCTCCCTGATCATGAAACATAACAGCAAGTATCAAAACATATTCTAGACCACCTCACAGCTAAGAGCTTTCTATGCCACAAGGGATAAAAAAACACTTTCCATCCCAACTTTCCTCTGAGTTGGTTTCCCCACAAAGACATGGAAGAAGATGAAAGCTGAAACAAACAGCAAGATGAGCACAGCAGCAGTAGAAGGCAGAGGGATAGTGAAGCGCTGAAGCACATTACACTTCATGTTTACTTTGGTTTGCATTTAGCCTCCTACCACAGATGCTAAGTGGATGACAAGTACAGTAGTTGACCTGGCATGTAAAAACACATACTGGGCACTGGATGTCACTTGTAACGGTAATCGTTTAGCTTCTGTTCACATGTTACTGGACTTGAGAACAGTCCAGGACTCACCGTGGCATTTTGCACATCTGCTGCTGTGATTACCTCACAAAAATTCATTTGTTAAAGTTTAACAAGCTTGAACTTTACTTTGAGTCAATTAGGGGGAAAAATGGATGTGGAGGATTTTCCCGCCCTCTACATGTGTTTGAAATCCAACATGAATGAATAATGTGAGTAAGCAGTGAGAGACAGAGCATGT